TGATGTAAGTCGTTGACGTGCTGTCTAATACCCAAACAGGTGATGAGCTGGAGATGTCTCTGCCTTGGTCCTTTCACTATTGGCTGCTCCTTCCTGGCGGATGTCAGGTGGTGCAATACCGGCTAAGCAGTGTAGTTTCTCCCGTGGTGTCGGGCGCAGACACCCCGTGATAATGCGCGGCATGTCTCATTAAGAGCCACATCCCCTGCTTTAGCGTGGTGAGATGTGTTCCACTGGGCATGCGTACTCAGCAGCAGAGTAGCATAGCGCAAGGGCAGATGTCTTCACTGTGTCTGGTTGTGATCCCCAGGTTGTGCCAGTCAGCTTTCGTATGATGTTGTTTCTAGCGCCCACTTTTTGCTTGATGTTCAGGCAGTGCTTCTTGTAGGTCAGAGCACGGTCCAGAGTGACTCCTCCCAGGGATTTGGGTGCGCTGCAATGCTCCCGAGGGATTCCTTCCCAGGTCATAATCCTCAGATCTCGGGATGCTTGTCACTTCATAATTGTAATTTTGCTACCGTTATTAATCGTACTGTAAATATCTGATATGCGGGATATAAGTTTATTCACCAGACCAAATTTGGCACAAATACCCAATACGCCAAATTTGAATACTGGTGGGGTTGGGGGGGGGGGGGTTGATTTTGTCATTTGGGAGTTGTAGTTGCTGGGATTTATAGTTCACCTACAATCAAAGAGCATTCTGAACTCCACCAACGATGGAATTGAACCAAACGTGGCACACAGGACTCCCATGACCAACAGAAAATACTGAAAGGGTTTGGTGGGCATTGACCTTGAGTTTGGGAGTTGCAGTTCGCCTACATCCAGAGAGCATTGTAGACTCAAACAATGATGGATCTGGACCAAACTTGGCACGAATACTCAATATGCCCAAATGTGAACACTGGCGGAGTTTGAGGAAAATAGACCTGACCTTTGGGAGTTGTAATTGTTGGGATTTATAGTTCACCTACAATCAAAGAGCATTCTGTGTTTGGGCTCGGCCTCATTGTTGTGTTTGGGCTCGGCCTCATGTAAGCCACACCGAGTCCCTTGGGGAGATGGTAGCGGGGTACAAATAAAGTTAATAAATAAATAATAATAATAATAAAAGAACAGCTGGTAAACTGTATTGTCGAAGGCTTTCATGGCTGGAATCACTAGGTTCTTGTAGGTTTTTTCGGGCTATATGGCCATGTTCTAGAGGCATTCTCTCCTGACATTTCGCCTGCATCTATGGCAAGCATCCTCAGAGGTAGTGAGGTCTGTTGGAAATAGGAAAATGGGTTTATATATCTGTGGAATGACCAGGGTGGGACAAAGGACTCTTGTCTGTTGGAGCTAGGTGTGAATGGGTTGTTGTAGGTTTTTTCGTGCTATGGTCTAGAGGCATTCTCCTGACGTTTCGCCTGCATCTATGGCAAGCATCCTCAGAGGTAGTGAGGTCTGTTGGAACTAGGAAAAAGGGTTTATATATCTGTGGAAAGACCAGGGTGAGACAAAGAACTCTTGTCTGCTGGAGCTAGGTGTGAATGGGTTGTTGTAGGTTTTTTCGGGCTATATGGTCTAGAGGCATTCTCTCCTGACATTTCGCCTGCATCTATGGCAAGCATCCTCAGAGGTAGTGAGGTCTGTTGGAAATAGGAAAATGGGTTTATATATCTGTGGAATGACCAGGGTGGGACAAAGGACTCTTGTCTGTTGGAGCTAGGTGTGAATGGGTTGTTGTAGGTTTTTTCGTGCTATGGTCTAGAGGCATTTTCTCCTGACGTTTCGCCTGCATCTATGGCAAGCATCCTCAGAGGTAGTGAGGTCTGTTGGAAATAGGAAAATGGGTTTATATATCTGTGGAATGACTGGGGTGGGGCAAAGAGCTCTTCTCTGCTGAAGCTAGGTGTGAATGTTTCAGCTGACCACCTTCATTAGCATTTGAAGGCCTGGCTGAGCCTGGGAAAATGTTCTGTTGAGAGGTGTTAAGATGTGCCTGGTTGTTTCCTCTCTGCTGTTTTGCTGTAGTAATTTTAGAGTTATTTTTTAATACTGGGAGGCAGATTTTGTTCATTTTCACGGTCTCCTCCTTTCTGTTGAAATTGTCCACATGCTTCTTGTGGATTTTATAGTTCACCTACAATCAAAGAGCATTCTGAACTCCACCAACGCTGCCTGGGATTTCTGCCTGGGATTTCTGGAAGTTGTAGGCCAAGGCACCCGGGGACCCACAAGTTGAGAACCACTGCTCCAGAGAAACACGGCTCCGGCCTTTTGCAAGAACGACTCCGCCGGCAGAGAGATGGAGCCGTGTGTGCTCTCCCGCCTTTCAGAGAAAGTGTCATGCTCAAATCGGATTAGCTTTGGCTTGTTTGCAGCGCACGGGACCTCTCTAAAGCAAGGAACGCCTTGGCTTTTTACGTAGTGGGGTGAGACCTTGGTATCTGCACAGAAACAACGCGTTTCGAGCCGTGCCGGAAGTCCCCGCAGTCACCGTTTGGGGTCCCTTCACTAATTCTGTTTACACATCCGTGCCATCTCTAATTATAGTTCTGCATTGTGATTCGGTTTGAGATCAGCGGCCCTGAAAATACTTCCTTGACTCCAGCTCGTCTGGCCTCGGATAACGCTATGCCGAGCCTCGGTTCAAATTTAACAAGGTGATATCGGAGTCGCCTTGAGTAATGCCAACTATCTGGGCCAAGGAGGGGACGCGGAACCGGATCCCACCCCAGGCTTCCAGGCTTCGGGAGGGACTTCGCACAACTCAGACTCATCATAGAATCCTAGAATCAAAGACTTGGAAGGATTTAAAGGAGGGTCTGCACAACAAGCCCTATGAAGAGCGGCTTAAGGAGCTGGGCATGTTTAGCCTGAAGAAGAGAAGGCTGAGAGGAGACATGATGAGAGCCATTTATAAATATGTGAGAGGGAGCCACAGGGAGGAGGGAGCAGATCAAGGGTCTGGAGAACAAGCCCTGTGAGGAGCGGCTGAAGGAGCTGGGCATGTTTAGCCTGAAGAAGAGAAGGATGAGAGGAGATATGATGAGGGCCATTTATAAATATGTGAGAGGAAGCCACAGGGAGGAGGGAGCAGATCAAGGGTCTGGAGAACAAGCCCTATGAGGAGCGGCTGAAGGAGCTGGGCATGTTTAGCCTGAAGAAGAGAAGGCTGAGAGGAGATCTGAAGATAGCCATGTATAAATACGTGAGAGGGAGCCACAGGGAGGAGGAGGGAGCAAGCTTGTTTTCTGCTTCCTTGGAGACTAGGACGCAATGGAACAATGGCTTCAAACTACAAGAGAGGAGATTCCATCTGAACATGAGGAAGAGCTTCCTGACTGTGAGAGCCATTCAGCAGTGGAACTCTCTGCCCCGGAGTGTGGTGGAAGCTCCTCCTTTGGAAGCTTTTAAGCAGAAGCTGGATGGCCATCTGTCAGGGGTGATTTGAATGCAATATTCCTGCTTCTTGGCAGAACGGGGTTGGACTGGAAGATGGCCCAGGAGGTCTCTTCCAACCCTAGGATTCTATGAGTTGTAGTTCTCTCAGGGCGCACTATAAACCCAAACAATTTGGCATGCATACCCAATATTCCCCAATTAGAGGCAACTGATGGGTTTTGGTGGGAATTGGCCTGGATATTTTGAAGTTGTAGGTACTGGGATTTATAGTTCATCAGCAATCAATGAGATGGAATTGAACCAAACTTGGCACACAGAGCCCCCATGACCAGCAACAAAGACTGGTGGTCTTTGGGGGAAATTCACCTTGATTTGGGGGAGTTGTAGTTCACCTACATCCAGAGAAGCCCTGTGAACCCAAACACCAATGGATCTGGGCCAAACTTGGCAAGCATACATGATATGCTGAAATTTGATTACTGGAGGGGTTTGGGGGCGAAGTGACGTTCCTTTCTGGGAGTTGTAGTTCACCCACAACCAGAGAAACTGTGACCTACACTAATGATGGACTTGGTCCAAACGTGGCACACAGAACCCCCATGACTAACTCAACGTAGTGGAGCAGTTTGAGAGGCCTGACTCACCATAGTGGGAGTTGTAGTTTACCCTACAGCCAGAGAGAAAACTGAACTCCAGCAATGAGGCATCCAGAGCAGACTTGCCCAACATAACAAACTTTAAGCACTGATGGAGTTTCTCAAGGTTAACCTGGCATGATGGGAGTTGTAGTTCACCCACAACCTTATGCATTTTGGACAATTTAAAAAATGACTTTTTCAAATAACCCAGGCGACGCTGGGGAGCCAAAGTAGTAAATACCAACAACAACCAATGCTAGTGGGGTTGGGGGAGGATTGATTTTGTAATTTGGGAGTTGTAATTGCTGGGATTTATAGTTCACTTATAATCAAAGAGCATTCTGAACTCCACCAGCGATGGATTTGAACCAAACTTGTCTCCCATGACCAATGGAAAACAACAGAAGGGTTTGATGGGCATTGACCTTGAGTTTGGGAGTTGTAGTTCACCTATATCCAGAGAACACTGTGGACTCATGCAATGGTGAATCTGGACCAAACTTGGCACAAATACTCAATATGCCCAAATGTGAACACTGCTGGAATTTGGGGAAAATAGACCTGGAGTTGTAGTTGCTGGGATTTATAGTTCATTACAATCAAAGAACGTTCTGAACTCCACCAACGATAGAATTGGCTCAAACTTCCCACATGGAATCCCCATAACCATTAGAAAATACAGTGTTTTCTGATGGTCTTTGGCGACCCCTCTGTCACCCCCTCGCGACCCCCTCAGGGGTCCCAACCCCCAGGTTGAGAAACACTGCGGTAGGCTGTTAGGAATTGTGGGAGTTGGAGTCCAAAACACCTGTAGGGAAGGCCCAAGTTGGCCCATGCTTCTTTTAAATGATAGTATATACTGATTTGACTTGTGGAAGTAACACCATGAGGTGGTGGGTGAAGCCAAAATAACAACAAGCCATATAACAACAACAACAACGATATACCAATCTCTTTTTCCTTTCCCAGACCAGAGATGACTTCCTTGGCCAGGTAGATGTGCCGCTCAGCCACCTGCCGGTTCGTATTTGTGTAAAACCCCTTTTTGGTGTGTGTTTGTGTGGGGTCCCCTTAACACTAGCTTTGGTCCACTGACTCTAACAGGCTTTGACCTACTCACTCTCTTCAGGACGACACTAGCTTTGGTCCACTGACTCTTAACAGGCTTTGACCTACTCACTCTCTTCAGGACGACACTAGCTTTGGTCCACTGACTCTTAACAGGCTTTGACCTACTCACTCTCTTCAGGACGACACTAGCTTTGGTCCACTGACTCTTAACAGGCTTTGACCTACTCACTCTCTTCAGGACGACACTAGCTTTGGTCCACTGACTCTTAACAGGCTTTGACCTACTCACTCTCTTCAGGACGACACTAGCTTTGGTCCACTGACTCTTAACAGGCTTTGACCTACTCACTCTCTTTAGGACGACACTAGCTTTGGTCCACTGACTCTTAACAGGCTTTGACCTACTCACTCTCTTTAGGACGACACTAGCTTTGGTCCACTGACTCTTAACAGGCTTTGACCTACTCACTCTCTTTAGGACGACACTAGCTTTGGTCCACTGACTCTTAACAGGCTTTGACCTACTCACTCTCTTTAGGACGACACTAGCTTTGGTCCACTGACTCTTAACAGGCTTTGACCTACTCACTCTCTTTAGGACGACACTAGCTTTGGTCCACTGACTCTTAACAGGCTTTGACCTACTCACTCTCTTTAGGACGACACTAGCTTTGGTCCACTGACTCTTAACAGGCTTTGACCTACTCACTCTCTTTAGGACGACACTAGCTTTGGTCCACTGACTCTTAACAGGCTTTGACCTACTCACTCTCTTTAGGACGACACTAGCTTTGGTCCACTGACTCTAACAGGCTTTGACCTACTCACTCTCTCCAGGACAACCCTAGCTTTGGTCCACTGACTCTAACAGGCTTTGACCTACTCACTCTCTCCAGGACAACCCTAGCTTTGGTCCACTGACTCTAACAGGCTTTGACCTACTCACTCTCTCCAGGACAACCCTAGCTTTGGTCCACTGACTCTAACAGGCTTTGACCTACTCACTCTCTTCAGGACAACACTAGCTTTGGTCCACTGACTCTTAACAGGCTTTGACCTACTCACTCTCTCCAGGACACACTAGCTTTGGTCCACTGACTCTTAACAGGCTTTGACCTACTCACTCTCTTTAGGACGACACTAGCTTTGGTCCACTGACTCTTAACAGGCTTTGACCTACTCACTCTCTTTAGGACGACACTAGCTTTGGTCCACTGACTCTAACAGGCTTTGACCTACTCACTCTCTCCAGGACAACCCTAGCTTTGATCCACTGACTCTAACAGGCTTTGACCTACTCACTCTCTCCAGGACAACACTAGCTTTGGTCACACTGACTCTAACAGGCTTTGACCTACTCACTCTCTCCAGGACAACCCTAGCTTTGGTCCACTGACTCTAACAGGCTTTGACCTACTCACTCTCTTCAGGACAACACTAGCTTTGGTCCACTGATGCTATTAGGCTTTGATCTACTCACTCTCTTCAAAACAACACTAGCTTTGGTCCACTGACTCTAACAGACTTTGACCTACTCACTCTCTCCAGGACAACACTAGCTTTGGTCCACTGACTAACAGGCTTCGGCCTACTCACTCTCTCCAGGACAACACTAGCTTTGGTCCACTAACAGTCTTTGATCTACTCATTCTCTCCAGGACAACACTAACTTTGGTTCACTGAATCTAACAGGCTTCGACCTACTCACTCTCTCCAGGACAACACTAACTTTGGTCCACTAACTCTAACAGGCTTCGACCTACAAACTCTCTTCAGAACAACCCTAACTTTGGTTCACTGACTCTAACAGGCTTCGGCCTACTCACACTCCTCAGGACAACACTAACTTTGGTTCACTCACACTAACAGGCTACGCCCTATTTCCTCTCCTCAGGACGACACTAGCTTTGGCCCACTAACTCTTAACAGGCTTCGGCCTACTCACTCTCCTCAGGATGGCACTAGCTTTGGCCCACTAACACTAACAGGCTTCGGCCTTTTCACTCTCCTCAGGATGACCTTAGCTCTGGCCCACTGACTCTTAACAGGCTTCAGCGTACCCACAATCCTCAGGATGACACTAGTTTTGGCCCACTAACTCTAACAGGATTCAGCCTATTCACTCTCCTCAGGATGACACTAGTTTTGGCCCACTAACTCTTAAAAGGCTTCGGCCTACTCGCAATTCTCAGGACAACACTAGCTTTTTCCCACTGACTTAACAGGCTTCAGCCTACTCACTCTCCTCAGGACAACACTAACTTTGGTCCACTAACTCTTAACAGGCTTTGACCTACAAACTCTCTTCAGAACAACACTAACTTTGGTCCACTGACTCTAACAGGCTTCGGCCTACTCACACTTCTCAGGACAACACTAACTGCTCCACTAACTCTAACAGACTTCGGCCTACTCACTCTTCTCAGGACAACACTAACTTTGGTCCACTAACTCAAACAGGCTTCGGCCTACTCACACTCCTCAGGACAACACTAACTTTGGTCCACTAACTCTAACAGGCTTTGGCCTACTCACACTCTTCAGAACGACACTAACTTTGGTCCACTGACTCTAACAGGCTTCGGCCTACTCACTCTCCTCAGGATGACACAAGCTTTGGCGCACTAACTCTAATAGGCTTCGCCCTATTCACTCTCCTCAGGATGATACTAGCTTTGGCCTACTCACTCTCCTCAGTACGGCACTAACTTTGGCCCACTAACTCTTAACAGGCTTCGGCCTACTCACACTCCTCAGGACAACACTAACTTTGGCCCACTGACTAACAGGCTTCGGCCTACTCACACTCCTCAGGACAACACTAACTTTGGCCCACTGACTAACAGGCTTCGGCCTACTCACTCTCCTCAGGACAACACTAACTTTGGCCTACTGACTCTATCAGGCTTTGGCCTATGAACTCTTTCAGTGCTTGACTCATTTGTAATTAAAAACACCTATTTCTGAGAGGCAGTGGGTTCTGCCTGTTTGCCTTGCATTTGGAGGAAGTCAATTGAGGCAGGAGAGGCATACTTTTAGGCCTGTGGGGGGAACATGCCTGTGTTTTGAGTTTTGCCCAGAATCATCCCTCTTCCTTTCCTTCCAGACGGAGGACCCGTCCAGAGAGAGACCGTACACCTTTAAGGACTTCCTCCTTCATCCAAGGAGGTCAGTAAACCCTTGAATGTCGGCTGCTTTGAATCTCTTTATGGAGTCCGCTGCTTGCAATATATATTTCTTTCTCCTCTTCCCCTCCCTAAACAGTGTGTTTTCTTTTCCAGTCAAAGGGGAGGGGAGGAGGGAAAGGAGATATATTTCATGTCCTCCTTATTTATTTATTTTTCGAACTTCTATGCCGCCACTCCCTTCCCTGGGGCTCGGAGCGGCTTACAGGAATGGCTAAAATCTAACACAATTTAAAAACAATTTAAAATAATTTAAACACAGCAGTATCAAACATTAAAAGCCTGTTGAAACAGGTATGTCTTCCATGCCCTGCGGAAAGCTGGTAAGTCCCGCAAGGCACGGACTTCGGGTGGCAGAGTATTCCAGAGCAATGGTGCCACTGCTGTGAAGGCTCTGCGCCTAGTTGCTGTTAGACGCAAGGTGAATTTCCAACAGATCTTGGTCCTCAGAACGGAGGGATCTCTGGGGTTGGGAGGGGGGTGAGGTGGTCCCTCAGGTCCATCGGCCCCAGACCATGCAAGGCCTTCAAGGTGAGTCCCATCCCTTTGAAAGTGATCCGGTGCTCAATGGGTAAGATTGGGGTGATGTGGCATCTCATCGGAATTCCCGCCAGAAGCCGAGCAGCTGCATTTTGTACCAACTTGAGCTTCCGGATCACCGACAGAGGAAGGCCAATGTAGAGGGCGTTACAGTAGTCCAGCCTTGAGATGACCGTGGCCTGGATCACCGTAGCCAGGTCGTCCCTGGAGAGGGAGGGGGCCAGCCGTCTAGCCTGCCGCAGGTGAGAGAAAGAAGGCGGTTCTGCTCACGGCGGAGAGAGACCTGGGCCTCCATCGTCCGCAGAGGGTCCAAAAGGACTCCCAGACTCTTGACCGACAGTAACGGGCGTAGTGCCTCGCCATCCAGGGTAGGCAGATGGACGTCCCCACTGCCCAGTTGACCCAGCCATAGGATCTCCGTCTTTGCCAGATTCACCCTCAACCTGCTGGCACGCAGCCATCCCGTCACGGCCTCGAGGCACTGATGGAAATAATCGGGGACAGAGTCCGGTCGGCCTTCCATCTTCAGCACCAGCTGAGTGTCATCAGCATACTGGTAACACTCCAGCCCAAAACCTCGAACCAGCTGAGCAAGTGGTCGCATAGAGATGTTAAACAAGAGAGGGGAGAGAATGGCCCCCTGAGGAGGAACCCCACAAGAGAGAGAGAGGGGACCTCTCAGACACCAGGCCTCCCCTCTCCACTCGCTGTCCACGGTTGTGATCTTGACAGATTAGAGAGATGATGGACCAAAACTCACAAAACGAAGTTCAAGAGGGACAAATGCAAGATACTCCACTTAGACAGAAAAAACGAAATGCAAAGAGAGAGAATGGGGGACGATGAGGCCTGGCTCGAGAGCAGTACGTGTGAAAAAGATCTTGGAGTCCTCGTGGACAGGAAGTTAAACATGAGCCAGGAATGTGATGTGGTGGCAAAAAAAGCCAATGGGATTTTGTCCTGCATCAAGAGGAGCCTAGTGTCTAGATCCAGGGAAGTCATGCTCCCCATGCTCTATTCCGCTTTGGTTAGACCACACCTGGAATCACATTGTGTCCAATTCTGGGCACCACAATTCAAGAGAGATATTGACTCTAATCTAAGCTGGAATGTGTCCAGAGGAGGGCGACTCAAATGATCTAGGGTCTGGAGAACAAGCCCTGTGAGGAGCGGCTTAAGGAGCTGGGCATGTTTAGCCTGAAGAAGAGAAGGATGAGAGGAGGTATGATGAGGGCCATGTATAAATACGTGAGAGGAAGCCACAGGGAGGAGGAGCAAGCTTGTTTTCTGCTTCCCTGGAGCCATGGCTTCCAACTACAAGAGAGGAGATTCCACCTGAACATGAGGAAGAATTTCCTGACTGTGAGAGTGGTTCAGCAGTGGAACTCTCTGCCCCGGAGTGTGGTGGAGGCTCCTTCTTTGGAGGCTTTGAAGCAGAGGCTGGATGGCCATCTGTCAGGGGTGCTTTGAATGCAATATTCCTGCTTCTTGGCAGAATGGGGGTGGACTGGATGATGGCCCAGGAGGTCTCTTCCCACTCTAGGATTCTATGATCTTTTGCAGACAAGTCGATGCCTCCTTCAGAGACAGCGAGGAGTACCAACATGGATCCTCTTGAGATGAAGCTCCTCTCTTCAGTGTTGTGTTTGTGTTGCAGCCACAAGTCCCGCGTGAAGGGGCACCTCCGGTTGAAAATGACTTACCTGCCTCAACCCAACGGGCCGGAAGAAGAAGGGGCGGAGCAGGCCGAAGAGCCGGAGGTGAGCCTGGGGGCAGGGAGGGGGCTCCTTTCCTGGCCGTTTTCCAAAAGGGAAACCCTAGAGCAGTGTTTCTCAACCTGGGGGTCGGGACCCCCGGGGGGGTCGTGAGGGGGTGTCAGAGGGGTCGCCAATGACTATATTGTCTGTTGGTCATGGGTGTTCTGTGTTAGAAGTATGGCCCAATTCTATCATTGGTGGGGCACAGACTGTTCTTTGATTGTAGGTGAACTATAAATCCCAGCAACTACAACTCCCAAATGTCAAGATTCTATTTTTCCCCAAACTCCACCAGTGTTCACATTTGGCCATGTTGAGTATTTGTGTCGGTTTGGTCCAGATACATCATTGTTTGAGTCCACAGAGCTCTCTGGGTGTAGGTGAACTACAACTCCCAAACTCAACGTCAATGCCCACCAAACCCTTCCAGTATTTTCTGTTGGTCAGGGGAGTTCTGTGTGCCAAGTTTGGTTCAATTCCATCATTGGTGGGGTTCAGAATGCTCTGATTGTAGGTGAACTATAAATCCCAGCAACTACAACTCCCAAATGTCAAGGTCTGTTTTGCCCAAATTCCCCCAGTGTTCACATTTGGACATGTTGAGTATTTGTGCCAGGTTTGGTCCAGATCCATCGTTGTTTTGAGTCCACAGTGCTCTCTGGATGCGGGTGAACTACAACTCCCAAACTCAAGGTCAATGCCCACCAAATCCTTCCAGTATGTTCTGTCGATCATGGTAAAATACATTCTGGATATCCGATATTTACATTACGATTCATATCAGTAGCAAAATGACAGTTGTGAAGTAGCAATGAAAATAATTTTATGGTTGGGGGTCACCACAAATGAGGAACTGTATTAAGGGGTCGCAGCATTAGGAGGCAGGGGCGGCTCAACCATTACGCAAAGTAAGCATCCGCGGTATAGTTAATTTTGCCAAGGGGGCGCTCTTGGGGGAAAATAGACCTTGACATATGCGAGTTGTAGTTACTGGGATGTATAGTTCACCTACAATCAAAGAGCCTTCTGAACTCCACCAAGGATGGAATTGAACCAAATATGGCACACAGAACTCCCACGATGAACAGAAAATATATATCAGTGATTGGTTGGGGGCCGGGCGCCAAAATATTGTTTGCTTACCATTGAAAATTACCTAGGGCCGTCTCTACCTAGAGGAGCCAGCCCCGCGCTCCGTCCACTGGCCTTGACCGTCCCTCCACGTTTCCCGGATGCGCTTGCCCACCCCATCTTTGTTGTCTGTCCTGCTTGTGTATGCAGCCTGGCTGGATCGTGCTGGACCAACCGGGGGGCGGCCCTCGCCCTTTGCCGGAGCCGGAGGCCTCTCTGCCGGACGGGTGGGAGGAGCGGCAGGACGTCCTGGGAAGGACCTACTACGTCAACCACGACTCCAGGAGGACCCAGTGGACCCGGCCCACCGCCCAGTAAGTCCACCTTGCCCTCGGGGTCCGTGGCCAGTAGGTCGCCCTGTCCTCGGGGTCCTGTCCCGCTCTGGCTCCTCTGTGCCTGGCCGAGAGGAAGGAAGTAAACAAGCTCCTTCTCTTGGCCACCATCTTTCATTGAGGAGAGGAGCTGGCTTTGCATTCTGCCCAGTTGACCGTAAGAGCTGTTCAGCCTTGGGCTCTACTGGAGGCTCCTTCTCTGGAAGTTTTAAAACAGAAGCTGAACGGCCATCTGTCAGGAATGCTTTGATAGTGATTTCCTGCCTGGCAGATGGCCCACGCGGTCTCTTCCAGCTCTAACATTTTACGGTTCTACTAGCCGTTCCCTGCCACGCGTTGCTGTGCCCCAGTCTGGTGATCTGGAAAATAAAGTAATGGTTTCTAATCTATGTAATTTCTTTATGCTTGTGGGTAAACAGTAGGCTTGGTTGATCCAGCTCGTTAATTTCTAATATCATTATGAAATCGTAAATAAAATACCTTTAGAAGCGATACCGACGCGTTTTGGCAACCCGGAAGTGTTTTTGCCATATCGAAGCCGCGTCCGCCATCTTCCTTACGACTTCTGCCAGTGAGTCGTCAATGCTGGGGGCGTGGCCTTCAGGAACGGCTGTTCTTACCCACGCCCACCTCCTTCCTCTTTGCATTGGCGGCTTTGCGAGGTGGGCGTGGCTACCTCCCTGGCGACAAGCGGCGATGCGGAAGAGCTGGGCCTAGCCACGCCCACCTCTCAAAGCCCACCTCTCAAAGCCCACCTCTCAAAGCCCACCTCTCAAAGCCCACCTCTCAAAGCCCACCTCGCAAAGCCCACCTCGCAAAGCCCACCTCGCAAAGCCCACCTCGCAAAGCCCACCTCTCAAAGCCCACCTCTCAAAGCCCACCTCTCAAAGCCCACCTCGCAAAGCCCACCTCGCAAAGCCCACCTCTCAAAGCCCACCTCGCAAAGCCCACCTCGCAAAGCCCACCTCGCAAAGCCCACCTCGCAAAGCCCACCTCGCAAAGCCCACCTCGCAAAGCCCACCTCGCAAAGCCCACCTCGCAAAGCCCACCTCGCAAAGCCCACCTCAAAGCCCACCTCTCAAAGCCCACCTCTCAAAGCCCACCTCTCAAAGCCCACCTCTCAAAGCCCACCTCGCAAAGCCCACCTCGCAAAGCCCACCTCTCAAAGCCCACCTCGCAAAGCCCACCTCGCAAAGCCCACCTCGCAAAGCCCACCTCGCAAAGCCCACCTCGCAAAGCCCACCTCGCAAAGCCCACCTCTCAAAGCCCACCTCGCAAAGCCCACCTCGCAAAGCCCACCTCGCAAAGCCCACCTCTCAAAGCCCACCTCTCAAAGCCCACCTCTCAAAGCCCACCTCTCAAAGCCCACCTCTCAAAGCCCACCTCTCAAAGCCCACCTCTCAAAGCCCACCTCGCAAAGCCCACCTCGCAAAGCCCACCTCGCAAAGCCCACCTCTCAAAGCCCACCTCGCAAAGCCCACCTCTCAAAGCCCACCTCGCAAAGCCCACCTCGCAAAGCCCACCTCGCAAAGCCCACCTCGCAAAGCCCACCTCGCAAAGCCCACCTCTCAAAGCCCACCTCGCAAAGCCCACCTCTCAAAGCCCACCTCTCAAAGCCCACCTCGCAAAGCCCACCTCGCAAAGCCCACCTCGCAAAGCCCACCTCGCAAAGCCCACCTCGCAAAGCCCACCTCGCAAAGCCCACCTCGCAAAGCCCACCTCGCAAAGCCCACCTCGCAAAGCCCACCTCGCAAAGCCCACCTCGCAAAGCCCACCTCTCAAAGCCCACCTCTCAAAGCCCACCTCGCAAAGCCCACCTCGCAAAGCCCACCTCGCAAAGCCCACCTCGCAAAGCCCACCTCGCAAAGCCCACCTCTCAAAGCCCACCTCTCAAAGCCCACCTCGCAAAGCCCACCTCGCAAAGCCCACCTCTCAAAGCCCACCTCTCAAAGCCCACCTCGCAAAGCCCACCTCGCAAAGCCCACCTCGCAAAGCCCACCTCGCAAAGCCCACCTCGCAAAGCCCACCTCGCAAAGCCCACCTCGCAAAGCCCACCTCGCAAAGCCCACCTCGCAAAGCCCACCTCGCAAAGCCCACCTCGCAAAGCCCACCTCGCAAAGCCCACCTCGCAAAGCCCACCTCTCAAAGCCCACCTCTCAAAGCCCACCTCTCAAAGCCCACCTCTCAAAGCCCACCTCTCAAAGCCCACCTCTCAAAGCCCACCTCTCAAAGCCCACCTCTCAAAGCCCACCTCTCAAAGCCCACCTCTCAAAGCCCACCTCGCAAAGCCCACCTCGCAAAGCCCACCTCGCAAAGCCCACCTCGCAAAGCCCACCTCGCAAAGCCCACCTCGCAAAGCCCACCTCGCAAAGCCCACCTCGCAAAGCCCACCTCGCAAAGCCCACCTCTCAAAGCCCACCTCTCAAAGCCCACCTCTCAAAGCCCACCTCTCAAAGCCCACCTCGCAAAGCCCACCTCGCAAAGCCCACCTCGCAAAGCCCACCTCGCAAAGCCCACCTCGCAAAGCCCACCTCGCAAAGCCCACCTCTCAAAGCCCACCTCGCAAAGCCCACCTCGCAAAGCCCACCTCGCAAAGCCCACCTCTCAAAGCCCACCTCTCAAAGCCCACCTCGCAAAGCCCACCTCTCAAAGCCCACCTCTCAAAGCCCACCTCTCAAAGCCCACCTCTCAAAGCCCACCTCTCAAAGCCCACCTCGCAAAGCCCACCTCGCAAAGCCCACCTCTCAAAGCCCACCTCGCAAAGCCCACCTCGCAAAGCCCACCTCTCAAAGCCCACCTCTCAAAGCCCACCTCGCAAAGCCCACCTCGCAAAGCCCACCTCTCAAAGCCCACCTCTCAAAGCCCACCTCTCAAAGCCCACCTCTCAAAGCCCACCTCGCAAAGCCCACCTCGCAAAGCCCACCTCTCAAAGCCCACCTCGCAAAGCCCACCTCGCAAAGCCCACCTCGCAAAGCCCACCTCGCAAAGCCCACCTCGCAAAGCCCACCTCGCAAAGCCCACCTCGCAAAGCCCACCTCGCAAAGCCCACCTCGCAAAGCCCACCTCGCAAAGCCCACCTCTCAAAGCCCACCTCTCAAAGCCCACCTCTCAAAGCCCACCTCTCAAAGCCCACCTCGCAAAGCCCACCTCGCAAAGCCCACCTCTCAAAGCCCACCTCGCAAAGCCCACCTCGCAAAGCCCACCTCGCAAAGCCCACCTCGCAAAGCCCACCTCGCAAAGCCCACCTCGCAAAGCCCACCTCGCAAAGCCCACCTCGCAAAGCCCACCTCGCAAAGCCCACCTCGCAAAGCCCACCTCGCAAAGCCCACCTCGCAAAGCCCACCTCGCAAAGCCCACCTCGCAAAGCCCACCTCGCAAAGCCCACCTCGCAAAGCCCACCTCGCAAAGCCCACCTCGCAAAGCCCACCTCGCAAAGCCCACCTCGCAAAGCCCACCTCGCAAAGCCCACCTCGCAAAGCCCACCTCGCAAAGCCCACCTCGCAAAGCCCACCTCGCAAAGCCCACCTCGCAAAGCCCACCTCTCAAAGCCCACCTCGCAAAGCCCACCTCGCAAAGCCCACCTCGCAAAGCCCACCTCGCAAAGCCCACCTCGCAAAGCCCACCTCGCAAAGCCCACCTCTCAAAGCCCACCTCTCAAAGCCCACCTCGCAAAGCCGCCGCTGCTAGGTAAGAACAGCTGTTCCTGAAGGCCACGCCCCCAGCGACCTCCAAGGAGCGCTGTGCTTGGCCACGCCCACCTCTCCCTTCTGCATGACGGACAGCTTGCCGGGAAGGGAAGGAAAGGTGAGAGAAGCTCGCGGCAAGGGAAGGAAGAGAAACTGCGAGATTTTGATGGTTCTGGAGGAAGGGAGGGAGGGGCACCTTCCATTAACGAAACAAAGGAAGCAATTCGTATTTCCTGGTATTTCCGATCTTTTTTTAAAGAAAATTTCGGAAATAATTTCAAAATCGAGCCACCAGCGCCCCCTATATACGAAACGAGTTTAGAACCATTTTTTTTCTTGATTAACCAAGCCTAGTAAACAGTATTTCTTGTTGTATGTATGTAGTTTCTTTCTGCTTGTGAGTGAACAGTATTTCTTGCTGTTTCTTTGTCAGTGTTGATGTGGAGAGTGTCTGGTTGGCCTTCCCTCCCTTTTTCTTTCCTTCTCTCCTTCCTTCCTTTCTTCTTTACCTCTTTCCTTCCTTCCTTCCTTCCTTCTCTTCCTTCTTCCTTCTCTACCTTCCTTCCTTCCTTCCTTCGCTTTTTGCTTCCATCCTTCTCTTTCCTTCTTTCTTTCCTTCCCTTCCTCTCTCTTTCTTCCTGCTCTACCTCTTTCCTTCCTTCTCTTTCCTTCTTTCCCTCTTTCCTTCCCTCCTTTTTCTTCTCTCCTTCCTTCTCTACCTCTTTCCCTCCTTCCTTCGCTTTTTGCTTCCATCCTTCCTTTTCTTTTTCCTTCTTTCTTTCTTTCCTTCCTTCCTTCCCTCCCTCTCTCTTTCTTCCTGCTCTACCTTTCCTTCCTTCTCTTTCCTTCTTTCCTTTCCTCCCTTTTTTCTTTCCTTCTCGTTTTCCTTCCTTTCTTCTCTACCTCTTTCCTTCCTTCCTTTGCTTTTTGCTTCCATCCTTCCTTCTCTTTTTGCTTTTTTCTTTCCTTCCTTCTTTCCTTCCCTCTCTCTTTCCTCCTGCTCTACCTCTCCCGGTCCTGAAACACTCTCTGCTTCATTTGGAAAAAATGCTGCACTCTCGGAGCTCAGGCAATGCGGTATTTTTGTGTTGATGTTGACTTTGGTGGAGAGGTGGCTGCCAAGGCAGCGGAAATGGTCCACATTTTCTAATGTTACACCATTAAGCTGTATCTCTGGCATTGGAGAGGGATTGGCTGGTGAGTGCTGAAAGAGGATTTGGTTTTCTCGATGTTCAATGAGAGGTTGAGATTCTCGTATGTTTCTGCGAAGGTGTTTAGAGTGGCTTGTAGGTCTTCTGAATGCGCACAGACAACATTGTCATCAGCATACTGGAGTTCTATAACACATGTTGTTGTGACCTTGCTTTTGGCGCACTTTGGTTTTCTCAATGTTCAATGACAGGCCAAGCTTCTTGTATGCTTCTGCGAAGGTGTTTAGAGGCTTGTAGGTCTTCTTCTGAATGTGCACAGACTACATTGTCATCAGCATACTGGAGTTCTATAACAGATGTTGTTGTGACCTTGGTTTTGGCGCACTTTGGTTTTCTCGATGTTCAATGACAGGCCGAGCTTCTTGTATGCTTCTGCGAAGGTATTTCAAGTGGCTTGTAGGTCTTCTTCTGAATGTGCACAGACGATGTTGTCATCAGCATACTGGAGTTCTATAACAGATGTTGTTGTGACCTTGGTTTTGGCGCACTTTGGTTTTCTCGATGTTCAATGACAGGTTGAGATTCTAGTATGCTTCTGCGAAGGTGTTTAGAGTGGCTTGTAGATCTTCTGAATGCGCACAGATGACATTGTCATCAGAATACTGGAGTTCTATAACAGATGTTGTTGTGACCTTGGTTTTGGCGCATGTTCAATGACAGGTTGAGATTCATGTATGCTTCTGCAGAGGTGTTTAGAGTGGCTTGTAGGTCTTCTGAATGTGCACAGACGACGTTGTCATCAGCATACTGGAGTTCTATAACAGATGTTGTTGTGACCGTGGTTTTGGCGCATTTTGGTTTTCTCGATGTTCAATGACAGGCTGAGCTTTTCGTATGCTCCTGCAAAGGTGTTTAGAATGGCTTGTAGGTCTTCTGAATGCACACTGATGACGTTGTCATCATCATACTGGAGTTCTATAACAGATGTTGTTGTGACCGTGGTTTTGGCGCATTTTGGTTTTCTCGATGTTCAATGACAGGCCGAGCTTCTCGTATGCTTCTGCGACGGTGTTTCGAGTGGCTTGTAGGTCTTCTGAATGCGCACAGACGACGTTGTCATCCGCATACTGGAGTTCTATAACAGATGTTGTTGTGACCTTGGTTTTGGCGCATGTTCAATGACAGGTTGAGATTCATGTATGCTTCTGCAGAGGTGTTTAGAGTGGTTTGTAGGTCTTCTGAATGTGCACAGACGACGTTGTCATCAGCATACTGGAGTTCTATAACAGATGTTGTTGTGACCTTGGTTTTGGCACATTTTGGTTTTCTCGATGTTCAATGACAGGCTGAGCTTTTCGTATGCTCTTGCAAAGGTGTTTAGAGTGGCTTGTAGGTCTTCTGAATGCGCACAGATGATGTTGTCATCAGCATACTGGAGTTCTATAACAGATGTTGTTGTGACCTTGGTTTTGGCACATTTTGGTTTTCTCGATGTTCAATGAAAGGCCGAGCTTCTCGTATGCTTCTGCGACGGTGTTTCGAGTGGCTTGTAGGTCTTCTGAATGCGCACAGACGACGTTGTCATCCGCATACTGGAGTTCTGTAACAGATGTTGTTGTGACCTTGGTTTTGGCGCATGTTCAATGACAGGTTGAGATTCTTGTATGGTTCTGCAGAGGTGTTTAGAGTGGCTTGTAGGTCTTCTGAATGTGCACAGACGACGTTGTCATCAGCATACTGGAGTTCTATAACAGATGTTGTTGTGACCTTGGTTTTGGCACATTTTGGTTTTCTCGATGTTCAATGACAGGCTGAGCTTTTCGTATGCTATAACAGATGTTGTTGTGACCTTGGTTTTGGCACATTTTGGTTTTCTCGATGTTCAATGACAGGCTGAGCTTTTCGTAAGCTTTTCCTGCAAAGGTGTTTAGAGTGGCTTGTAGGTCTTCTGAATGCGCACAGATGACGTTGTCATCAGCATACTGGAGTTCTATAACAGATGTCGTTGTGACCCCCTCCCTCCGTTCCTTTGGACCAGGGACCCCCGCCTGGACGCCGAGAGCGGCCGCCTGCAGCTGGAGGTCCAGCAGGCCTTGACCCACCGGCACCAGATCACGGAGGAGGAGGCCGAGACCCCCGACTGCCGGGAGTCCCCCGAGGTGAGGCCCACTTTCCTTCACAGAGAGAGCCTTGATTGCCTGGAAGGCCCTTGCGGCCCATCCTCGTTACAATCTGCCTTGGTTTGTGTTTTGCAAGAGCTGGGAGATCATCACCGAGGACGAGGCCACCATGTACAGCAACCCGGCATCCGCCGTCCCGCAGGGCAGCTCCGGAGCAGAGGCCCACCTGGCCGAGGACGTCAACGCCCGGCTGAGCCTCTCTGGAGTTCCCGCACCTTCCGCCGCTGTGAGCACATGCTTCCCAACAACGGGGTCCCTCGTCTGCTACTTGCCATAATAATAATAATAATAATAATAATAATAATAATAATAATAATACTTTATTTATACCCCGCTACCATCTCCCAAGGGACCCGATGCGGCTTACATGAGGACAAGCCCAACAACACATCAATAAAAACAAAAATTAATAAACAAAAACAAGAAATACAATACAATTAATATAAATCACATATAAACAATAAACAGTAACACACAAGGATGGAACCAAACCATGGAACCAAAAAAAAGTATTTGCTGCCAAATGTAAGGTGTGGTGGCAAAAGTCCCCTCTTCGTAATTTGGCCCAAAAGGTGTCCATTACAGTTGCTGCCTGGTTAAAACTCCTTCTTTAGAAACAAATGTGCAAGGGCATCAAAACCATGGGTTGTTGTAGGTTTTTTTGGGCTATATGGCCATGGTCTAGAGGCATTTAGGCCATTATATGCTAATCAAGGTGGTCAGTTGACACATTCACACCTAGCTCCAGCGGACAAGAGTCCTTTGTCCCACCTGGTCATTCCACAGATATATAAACCCATTTTCCTAGTTCCAACAGACCTCACTACCTCTGAGGATGCTTGCCACAGATGGAGGCGAAACGTCAGGAGAGAATGCTAGAGGCACTGCCAGGCCATCAAATGCTAATCCAGGTGGTCAGTTGAGACATTCACCCCTAGCTCCAGCAGACAAGAGTCCTTTGTCCCACCCTGGTCATCATTCTGCAGATATATAAACCCATTTTCCTAGTTCCAACAGACCTCACTACCTCTGAGGATGCTTGCCACAGATGCAGGCGAAACGTCAGGAGAGAATGCTAGAGGCACTGCCAGGCCATCAAATGCTAATCCAGGTGGTCAGTTGAGACATTCACACCTAGCTCCAGCGGACAAGAGTCCTTTGTCCCACCTGGTCATTCCACAGATAGATAAACCCATTTTCCTAGTTCCAACAGACCTCACTACCTCTGAGGATGCTTGCCACAGATGCAGGCAAACTGTCAGGAGAGAATGCTAGAGGCACTGCCAGGCCATCAAATGCTAATCCAGGTGGTCAGTTGAGACATTCACCCCCTAGCTCCAGCAGACAAGAGTCCTTTGTCCCACCCTGGTCATCATTCCGCAGATAGATAAACCCATTTTCCTAGTTCCAACAGACCTCACTACCTCTGAGGATGCTTGCCATAGATGCAGGCGAAACGTCAGGAGATAATTTGTCGTGTCCTGACACGACAAAAAAAAAAAAAAAAATCAGGAGAGAATATTTATTTTTTTATTTGCTTTATTTCTAAACCGTGTTTTTCAGCCTAATTAGGCGACTCAATGCGGTTTACACAATACAGGTTATCACAACAATAAACAGTTAAAACACATCATACACAATAGCAAAAACAACAGTTATTATCAATTCATGACGCCTCGATAACAGAGCAAAATCCATTCTCATAATCCTTGTGCCATTCCTATGTTCAATTTTACCGTCTTCCTGTGTTCAGTTGCACTGTTTAGCCAAACGCTTACTCGTAGAGCCAGGTTTTAACCTTCTTCCGAAACGCCAGCAGCGAAGGAGCCTATCTGATGTCTATAGGTAGGGCATTCCATAGCCGAGGGGCCACCACCGAGAAGGCCCTGTTTCTCGTCCCCGCCAACTGTGCCTGTGACGCAGGCGGGACCGAGAGCAGGGTCTCCCCGGACGATCTTAATGTCCGCGTCGGTTCATAGGTGGAGATGCGTTCGGAGAGGTAAGTGGGGCCGGAACCGTTTAGGGCTTTGTAGGCTAATGCCAGCACCTTGAATTGTGCTTCTGGAACATGGGCATACAGCCCAGAAAACTCACAACGACCCAGAACTGGAAGAGACTGTGTATGTCTGTATACATTGCATGTCAAAATTGGCATGGAATGTTTGCCATATATAGGTGTACACTGTAATCCACCCTGAGTCCCCTGCGGGGTGAGGAGAAGGGCGGAAGAGAAATGCTGCAAATAAATACATAAATAAATTGTTGTATTGTGGGCTTGGCCTCATGTAAGCCGCACCGAGACCCTTGGGGAGATGGTAGCGGGGTATAAATAAAGTGTTAATTAATAATTTAATAAAATAATAATGTCTGTCTCCTGTTCTGGGCGGCTTGGGTGAAGGTTACAGTCACCGAGGGCAAAGCGTGTCCCTTCTTGACCTCATGGCGTTGAAGCTCCCACCAGGTTGCACTGTTGGGGATGATGGGCACTCTGATAGGCATGCCTCTGTATTACTCCTTTCTTCCTTCCTTCCTTCCTTCAAGAATGACCTCGGCAGAAGAGGGAGCCCCCAGCGTTTCCATCTGGAGGAGCAGCCGGCTCTCCCTGTGGTAAGTTGTGTTGGGGACTCTCCTCCCAAAAAGCCTGCGTGGTCATCTGATAATACTTGGAAGGCAATCAGGCTCAGACACGAGTGATCGATGATGATGATGATAATAATAATAATAATAATAATAATAATAATATAGAATCCTAGAGTTGGAAGAGACCCCATGGGCCATCTAGTCCAACCCCCTTCTTATGCAGGGAAAGCACAATCAAAGCACAAAGCACAATCAGAGCCATCCAGACTCTGCTTATTAGTAGTAGTAATAATAATAATAATAATAATATAGAATCCTAGAGTCAATAATAGGTATCTACAGTCACCTATGGACTCACTGCCAAGGTCCTAGACTTGGAAGGCAATCAGGCTCAGGCACGAGTGATCGATGATTATGAGGATGATGAGGATGATGATGATGATAATAATAATAATAATAATAAAGAATCCTAGAGTTGGAAGAGACCCCATGGGCCATCTAGTCCAACCCCCTTCTTATGCAGGGAAAGCACAATCAAAGCACAATCAGAGCCATCCAGACTCTGCTTATTAGTAGTAGTAGTAATAATAATAATAATAATATAGAATCCTAGAGTCAATAATAGGTATCTACAGTCACCTATGGACTCACTGCCAAGGTCCTAGACTTGGAAGGCAATCAGGCTCAGGCACGAGTGATCGATGATTATGAGGATGATGATGATGATGATAATAATAATAATAATATAGAATCCTAGAGTTGGAAGAGACCCCATGGGCCATCTAGTCCAACCCCCTTCTTATGCAGGGAAAGCACAATCAAAGCACAAAGCACAATCAGAGCCATCCAGACTCTGCTTATTAGTAGTAGTAATAATAATAATAATAATAATAATATAGAATCCTAGAGTCAATAATAGGTATCTACAGTCACCTATGGACTCACTGCCAAGGTCCTAGACTTGGAAGGCAATCAGGCTCAGGCACGAGTGATCGATGATTATGAGGATGATGATGATGATGATGATGATAATAATAATAATAATATAGAATCCTAGAGTTGGAAGAGACCCCATGGGCCATCTAGTCCAACCCCCTTCTTATGCAGGGAAAGCACAATCAAAGCACAAAGCACAATCAGAGCCATCCAGACTCTGCTTATTAGTAGTAGTAATAATAATAATAATAATAATATAGAATCCTAGAGTCAATAATAGGTATCTACAGTCACCTATGGACTCACTGCCAAGGTCCTAGACTTGGAAGGCAATCAGGCTCAGGCACGAGTGATCGATGTTTATGAGAATGATGATGATGATGATAATAATAATCATAATCCCCCCCCCCATTGGGTGCTGCCTTGTTGTTGTTGTATGATGTTGTATGATGCTTGTATGATGTTGAGAGCTGTGCTGTCAGTAGTGTAAACTATCAGTAGGTTCAAACAAGCGAAGTAGAACTATTTTGTTTGCTGTGTACTAATCTTGTTGTGCTTCAAATAATATTAATAATAATAATAATTTATTGCGTAATGATGTAATGTTTTGTTAATTGCTTATGCTTTTAATTTGCTTTGAATTGTGTTGTTATTGTTTTGCTGTTGTTGTGTTGAGGCCTTGGCCTTTGTAAGCCGCATCGAGTCCTTCGGGAGATGCTAGCGGGGTACAAATAAAGTTTAATAATAATAATAATAATAAGAAGCCAGGACAGGTGGTCCCAGTGGTCTTTGGCACACTGGGTGCCGTGCCAAAAGATCTCTGCCGGCATTTGGAAACAATCAACATTGACAAAATCATGATCCGTCAACTGCAAAAGGCTACTTACTTGGATCTGCGCGCATCATTCGAAAATACATCACACAATGCTAGACTCTTGGGAAGTGTTCGACTTGTGATATTGTGACACGAAATCCAGCACATAGATCTCATTTGCTGTGACATACTGGGTGTTTGTGTTAGTAAAATAATAATAGTAGTAGTAATAATATAGAATCCTAGAGTTGGAAGAGGCCACATGGGCCATGTAGTCCAACCCCCTTCTGTCAGAGATAGACGATGTCCAGCGGAAGGAATGCTAGATCAACAGACACTGAGTTGCAAAATAAAGACTCTGCAGGGATGTCGCTGATCAAATTTCCCCAGGGAGTGAATTCCACTGGTGAGGGGCCACCACTGAGAAGGCCCTGCTCCTCGTCCCCGCCAATCTCACTTGTGAAAGAGGTGGGGTCGAGAGCAGGGCCTCCCCAGATGATCTCAAACTCCGGGGTGGGACGTAGAGGGAGATACGTTCGGACAGATACACTGGACCGGAACCGTATAGGGTTTTGTAGGTCAAAACCAGCACCTTGAATTGTGCTTGGAACTGAACCGGCAGCCAGTGGAGCTGACACAGCAGGGGGTGGGGGGTGCTCCCTGTATGACGCTCCAGTGAGTAATCTGGCTGCCACTCGCTGGACCAGTTGAAGTTTCCGAACAGTTTTCAAGGGCAACCCCGCGTAGAGTGTGTTGCAGTAGTCTATCCGGGATGTAACAAGAGCGTGGACCACCGTGGCCAGATCAGACTTCCCAAGGTACGGGCGCAACTGGTGCACAAGTTTTAATTGTGGAAAAGCTCTCCCGGCCACCGCCGAGACCCGGGGCTCCAGGCTCAGCGATGAGTCCAGGATCACTCCCAAGCTGCGAACCTGCGTCTAAGAGAGAGGAATTGCAGTTGAAGCAATAGACAGAAGGGACAGATGGAAAGGACATTGATAGATGGAACAGAAGGTAGATGGAGAGAACATAGATAGGTTGGTAGGTAGAAGGTAGATAGATATGTAGATGGAGTGATGGATGGATGGATGGATTGAAGGATGGAAGTCCTTCCTAATGTGTCCAAGTGGAATCTCCTCTCCCATCATTTGAACCCATTTCCTCCCAATTGCAGTTGTTGCCGACTTCCTTGGGCCTCCCTCCCGGATGGGAAGTCAGGAAGGACGAGAAGGGGCGGCCTTACTACATCGACCACAATTCCCAGAGGACCACCTGGAAGAGGCCAGCGCCGGCACAGGTACCTTGTCCTCATCCCGCTCCCTGGGCCTTGGACTGAGTTGCCATCTTTGCTGCGGAGCCATGGATTGAGGTTCTGGGTTTGAGCCTGCCACTTTTGGACTCTCGCTTGCTGGGGTGTTCCAGCGAGTGTCTCTGTAGATCTTAGAAAACTATGTCTGGATTTAAGTTGTTGACGTGCTGGCTGATACCCAAACAAGGGATGAGCTGGAGATGTCTCTGCCTTGGTCCTTTCACTATTGGCTGCTACTTCACAGAGCGGTCCTCCTTTGTAAGCCCCGAATGGCTCTCCTCCCCTTCCTTCCTTCTT